AAAAAAATAAAACAGATGATAGATTTTATTTCCTACCATATTAGTAAGCAATTTTAATCATGAGATTATGCAGAACAATAAAATCATTTTCTTGGGGCTGGTGAGATGGCTCAGTGGTCTAAAGCACCTACTCAGAACAAGCTTAGCAAAGCACAGGGACCGTGGTTCAATCCCCCAGCACCACATGCCAGCCAGCCCCGCCCCCTGGTGGACTGAGCTGCTCCCCCACCAACAAACAAACAAATAAATAATAATAAAACCATTTTCTCTAACTTAACTGTTTTAAATGGGGATATATATAAATTTTTTTTTTTAATGTATTGGTACAAGGTCTCACTATGCAGTGCAGACTCATAGTGATCCTCCTGTTTTCAGCCTCCCTAGCACTGGGATTACAGATGTGGTGGTGTACCACCATGCCCAGTCTCAGTGGCCGGCTCAGTGCCTGGGGCCAGCGTGTTATGTGGTGCTGGAACCCTGGTCCCTGTGCTTGCCTGAGCAGGCACTTAAGTTTGCTAAACTATCTTGCTGGCCCTCAATGGGGATAGTTTTTTAAACACATAAAAGAAAAATAATAAAACATATTTTAAGGGGAAATAGAAAAATATGTACCTGGTTCAGTAAGCACATACTTGAGCATCTAGAGTTAGCCAGGTGAGGAGGAGCAGCAGGAGGGGGAGGGGAAGGGACGGGCAGGGGGAAGGGAGGCTTAAACTGTCTAAACCATTCGTCCTAAAAATATGGATTTTAAGGTTTGTCATTATATCACCTGGAAGGTGAACAAAGATTCAACATTAAATGAAGGCCAAACTTAGCTAAATTATTCACATGGGAATGAAAATGGAACCACATCTAATACTGCAAATATACTTATGACCCGGTCTCCAGCCCTCTGCTTCTGGGGTTCTTTGTTATATAATCTAGATTTAGGTTAGAGGGATTTGTGTTTTTCATTATTTAAAGAAAACATTCTTTGCCATAACAAGGAATATGTGTATCCTAATTACAAGAATATTAAGGCTAAGTATAAAACTTGCGACATTAACTAGAATCCCTTCATAGTGTACGGAGAATGGAAGAGCACCCAGTTTATTCATGTTAATCAAAATGAAATGAGTAAAGAAAAGAGTAAGAAACTACTTCCTTGTGGTTTCACTTGGTAAACTACTCTAAAGATCTCTGTAGCTCTGGCAGAAGAGGGCCAGTACTAGTTAGACTAAAAAAGTGATGCCAGAAGGACTAAAAGGGAAAATGTTGCAGGAATTATTCTTAAATGTGTTCAGTGTGATAAGCTAAATATACCTGACTCTCTGCTTACATATGCTGGCAGCATACTTTCTAGTTTTCAATGCTTTTCACATAAATGGCTCATCTGATCCCTGCAATACCCCTGTGAAACCAGGACGGCAAATAGTGTTCCCATTTTCTACGGGCCAGCCAAGTAAATACCCTACCAAAGCAATTTCATATGTTTATGGCAAAGCCACAGGATATCCTTCAACCTATCTGCTGCACCAAGGAGCTTCTTCTTGAAACATTCACCACCAGGAGTTCCGGGTGATCCTGATGTGCTCGAAACCTGCCAGCTAACGCAGCACTCTACTGGGCTTTCTCTCTCATAGCACTCTTCAGGAGTGTAAACTTCTCAGCAACATTGCACTTAGCCACTTACATGGAATGTGTTAAGTGGCAGTGAACTTGAAATTTGAAAGCCTGGATGTAGCTCCTTTGCCAAAAATTAGCTATGGCAGCCCCAGCCAAATCACTTAATAGCAGTTAAGATTATCAAACAAGAACAATATTATTTCACAAAGTGCAAGTGAAATTTATAAGGGACAATGACAAGTGTTCATGCCCAGTATTTATTAAAAGTAAAGAAAAATTTCTATCCATTTATAACTTACAAAAATTAAAATAATCCTCAAAGCATTTTCAGGTATTTTTAGTGATCAGCAACATGATTCTGAAAATTAAGATCAGACAATTTTTTCTTGGAAATAATTATGAACATGGAAAACTGACAATATAATCAATAAGAACAAGGAACCATTTGACTGGGTTATATTTGTCTGGCTTATCACACAAAAAGAATAAAAGTCTTGATTTACATTTCCTAGATGGCTAAATATATTTAACATTTCTGATTACAATTATTGGCCATTTGTATTTCTTCTCCTTGGTATACACCCTAAGGAATTAAAGTTAGCATACCATAGACACCTGCGTATCATGTTTTCTGTGTCACAATTCCTAATAGCCAAGTTATGACCTCAGCCCGCAAATAAGTGAAGGCATAAAGAAAAGAGGTGGTGTGTGGGTAACAGAGCATTAATTATCCAGCCATGAAGAAAAGTGAAATCATGTCATTTGCAGTAGGAGACTACCATGTGAAGTGAAATAAGCTGCACTCAGTAAGACAAGCATCACATACTTCCTCTAATGTATGGACTCTAGAAAAAAAAGACATGAAAAATAAGGAAGACTATTAGACAAGAGGAAAGACACGAGGATGGTGACAGGAGCAATAGATACAACTGATATGTTACACACGTGGATGAAAATGGTATCACCAAACCCAGGGTTTTGTAAACTATGTAATGATAAAATGTGCATCTTAGAAAATGAATAAAATGGGCTGGCGAGATTGCTCAGCGGGCTAAGTGCCTGCTTAGGCAAGTGCAGGGACTGGGTTCTATCCCCCACAACACATGTTGCACGGTCCACCCCCGGGGCGTGCTGAGCCAGCCACTGGGTGTGGTGGCACATGTCTGTAATCCCAGTGCTGGAGAGGCTGAAAACAGGAGGATCAGTAGAGTCTAAGCTGCATAGTGAGACCCTGTACCATATATATAAAAAAGAAAATGAATAAAATAATCTGTAAAAATGGAAACAATTGTAAATTACTTATAAAGACAACTGGCATTTTGGTTCAATTTCCTCCTCTAATAAAGGCACTACAGTGGAAGAACATACTTCACCTCTCACAAAATATAGCACGGTCTCATCACTTGCTATGCAATCAATGGGCTACTGTAATCCTTATTAAGCTGTCCTACATTCCTCTTCTTTTTATAAGAGAAAGAAGATTCCAAGGGAAAAGCTGTAGGATTTGATCAAATTAGAAGGGTGATAAAGGATGATATTTAATAAACTGCCACTGTATTAAGGTATAAAAATTAACTATAATTTGTAGATATCTGCCAGATTTGCTTCAATCCAGTAGTAGCTCCAATGTTCAAGACTCTTTGGGGGCCTGCCCCTTAGCTCAGTTCTTTAAGTGGCTGCTTCAGCAAAGCAGTCAGGCTCAGGTTGCTGTGGTTTGATCCCCACAACTCAAGCCAGCCAAACCTGCCCTGAAGGCATTCGGAGGAAAAAAAAAAAAAAAAAGACTCTTTGGTTCTCATCAGAAGTCAATTTAAAATATACCTGCACAAGTTTGGAAATATCAATAAAAATCCAAAATGCAAACGACCTTTAACTAATAAATTTCACTCCTAGAAATGCAAGCTACCCATGTTTGTTCTCTATAAATATCCTGCATACACATTTACTTAAATAAATGCATTGAAAATGCTAACCTACTTGTAAACATATAGCACTGGAAACATTAGTTGTACATCCACTGGGATTAGTTCAATAAATTATGCAACTTAGAGCTATTCCCTAGCAACTGTCAAAAGGAATATGTTTATGCGCCAATATGTAAATATTATTAAATGATAGATATATAATCTCATCTGATAATTTAAAAAAAAAAA